CTCGCTCCGGGGCGAGATCGCGGACTGGACAGAATCACCCTTCTGTCCGCCCTCCCGCGTCACCTGCTGGATTCCTACAAGTAAAGGTGCTTCGAGGGGCAGCGCCCAAGCCGCACGGGCAGCCCCGCTTCGCCAAGTTCTCCTCAAGGCTCTTTCAGTTGTCGCTTGCTTGGAACCAAAGCTTCATTATTATTATTATTATTACTTTGCTCCGAAACCCAGGGCAGAAGGAAAACCACACCACAAACGGCTGCACTCGGCCGGGGGACTTTCCACCGTGCGCCCTTCCCAGCTCTGAACTTTGTAACTAGGGGGCGTCACTTTCCAAAAAGATGTTGTAAACGCTGCCTCTCTTGGCTGGGAGGGGGCCCAGACGTGACCTCCAGCCGTCCCAGGGCAGGTGAAAATCAGACGGGAGCAGCAAGGTTAGCCCCAGCCGTGGAGCGGGGAGAACTCACCGCTGGTCGGGGCAGAGGGAAGGCTTCTTGGAAAAGCTGGCGTTTGAGTGGGGCCCCGGGGGGTCAGGGGATGAGAGGGGCTGGGCGTGCAGGGAGGGGGACTGACGGACGGAGTGCGTGCCCGCGTGACAGCCTGGGTGACGGGGAAAGTGCCTCCGGCTTACCTTCACCTGGTGTTCTATCTTATAGGCAGTTTGCTGGAACTGGCGAATCTCTCGGATGATGTGAGATATCTGCGAGGACGAGGACAGTTTAAGAAGACAGTTCGCTCTCGCGGGCTCCCCCAGCCCCTCCGCTCCACGGCACGGACGGGGCACCGACAGCCGAACCCGAAGTCGGTCTCTTAGCTCACACACACACCGCCTCCTGAGAGCCCCCACGGAGGCACGTGGCCTCCTTCGCCCCAGCGATCTGTGTCCAGGGGGACACTAGTAAAAAGTCTACAGGTCGATTACGTGACAGAAAAAGCATCATTCGGTCGGAGAGGGCAGGCTGTCCAACATCCCAAAACGGTGCCCACGTCTCAGCAAAAGCCGGGCACCTGCCACGTTCTGCGTGCCCACTGTGCGTGGGTGCCGGGGCCCCGTCCTGTCACCAGGACGGTGCTTCTGGCTTGCGGGTGACAGAGAAGCCCTCCTAGGGAGCCCCGTGTTGACTGGAAACCGCATCACACAGAACCCATGCGAGGGTGTCGTGAGAAAGGGCGGGGGAACCACGACACCGGCCCGGCTCTCTCCTTCCACTTGGGGGGGGCTGCCTATGGATTCCGTCTGCCACTGGCTTCACGTGGCCAGCTCTGCCCCTCCCCCGCGGGGTGACCTCGGGTGGGCCACGGAGCCCCGCGAGCCCCAGGCTGCTCCTCTGTGAGCGGGGGCGACCCCTCAGCGGGCTCCGTCCGAGGGAGCGCGGTGAGGCTGGCTGGGGGCCCGCTGATGCTGTCTGCCTCTCTGCCTCTCGGGGACCCGCGGCAGCTCTCGTCGGAGAAGCCGGCTCCAGGCTGCCGGGTGCGCGTGCTCGATCGCAGGCCAGGCGGTCCCGGGACTCGGCCCCGGGTTTTGACGCCCCCCGGCCCTGCCCCGGGACACGTACCATCCTCATCTTGGAGAAGTTGACCAGGCCGTCCTCCGTGTAATTGGGTGTCCCCTCTTCGATAAAGGCCAGGTCGGTGAGGTACATCCCCAGGTAAGGGACACAGGGCGGGTCACAACTTCGAAGCAAACGGCATGAGACAAACGTTTTTCATTTGAAAACACGAGCGTCTACGGAACCAGAACACCCTGCATGCACGTGCTGGAGGCCTGGGGTTGCCAGCCGCCTCAGGGTCGGTCCTCTGGGGCACGGGCCACGGACCAGCGGGACAGAAAGCCCTCCCCCACCCGTCCGCTCTCCGTCCCGGATGCAGGCTTTGGGCTCCACGGCCGGCCCCCTCCCAGCCCCCTCGCCTGACTCCCCCGTGAAACTCTCCACCCAGCCCTGCTCTGGACCCACCCCCCAGGGGACCTGCCAGCCCCCACCCCATTCTGCCAGCCATGCTACCCAGCCCCCCGGTGTCGTTCTGCTCCTTGACACTCCTCCTCTGCCTCGACCGGCCGCTTGCCCCACGGGATCTCCTGCCCACCTGAGCACTGGGGTCCCGGAGCAGGAAACCCTGGCCCTTGAGGTCCCCTCCTACAAGTGGCTTCTAAGCAGGGGGCTGGGGGACAGCGTCCCTAACAAGTGACGTCTTGGGGAGGGAGCGTTTTGGGAGACAGGACCCAGCAGTGGTAGACCACGCCGCTCCGACTTGGGGGGCTGCTGTTACATCTTCATCACAGGGTATCGCCCTGGAGCCTCTGGGAGGGGCCCCAGAAAGGGGCCGATTTTGTGTGGGTCCGGCAGCCACCGTGCTCTGGCAGAGCTCCGGGTCGTGCCCTCAGGGGACCCCTGATGGTGCCCCGCAGCCTCCTCTCAGCGCAGCGCAGCACGCAGACACGGCCATTCTGGCCGCACGCACTTGCGGGAGCAGGTGACCCCGCTCCTCGACCTCTGACCTTGTCTCCTTGAGGCCACGCGGCAACCCTCCACTCTGGAAGAAGGGGAGGCAGGGAGGTCGGTGGGGCAAGAACAGAAACCCAGCCTCTGCCCCTCGCCCGCTAGGCGTGTGCCCCTTGACCCGAGGGCCAAGGCCGCCCTCACACGACGGGGCTGATTGCCCAGACAGGTCTAGGAGGTCAGGTTAGGTGATGCGCCCACGCTACATGAAGCGGCATGGATGCACGCGGGGAAAAACACATCCGGTTTTCGTCCGGCTATCGTACGGCCCTGACGCCTTCTGACACTGGCCACTGTCCTTCCCTGTTGCTTTCTTTTTTGGACAAACGGCAACAGGTCTCAGGACGGGTGTTGGCAAACACCAGGATCCCTGCTAGAAGCGAGAAACCGCTTTGTTTTCACCGGGTCTGTTTATCGTGGCGACCTTGTACTCGTGGTTCCCCGTTTACTGTTCTGACACGCTTTTCCTTCCTACTTCAATTTACCTCGGGGAAAACGTGAGTTAATTATAAGGAAGCTACGGAGAGCGGATCCCGCCGGCACACGGGCAGCAAAGCCGGGAAGGAGGTGGGCCCTGGGGGTGAGGGAGACCGTGGCCAGAGTTGTCTTCTGACCTGTGGGTCTTGACTCTTTCTTGGGTGGTGGAAATACGTTAAGCGTTGATCAGCTTTTTAAAGAACGAAAACAACAACAACAACAACCCAGAAGTAGGATAAAAGAAAATATCTGAGTTGGTTGCACGGGCCAAAAGCACACGTTGTTTCGTGAAACTTTTGTTGCTGTTTGCGTGTATGTATTTGTGGGGAAAAAAAAGTGTTCTTACTGGGTTGTGATTTAAAAAAACAAACAAACAAGACTCACGGGTCCTGCGGGACCACACGGTCTGTGACTGTCACAGGTCAGGCAGGCTCTCCGACCCCGCCCATCATCCTCCAAGTCTGGGCGGCAGGTGGGACTTAGTCGGGAGACGGAGAAGCAACTCTGTAGCCAGCACTGGGTGGGGGGGGGAGGGGGGTTCGCTGGCCAGCGGCTTCTGAGAGGGGCTTCCCAGCTCGCCCGCTATTTCTGCTGTTGACGGTGACTAGGAACGCAGAGGGCCGGAAGGACCCCCCATCTTGGGGGGAGGGGAGGGGGGACCGGGGCCGCAGGGAAGGAACGCGCAGAGTGTTCCCGAAGGCCGTACAGGGTCTCCGACTGCCCAGAGCGGTGGGAAGTCAGGGGGTCCTCTGATCGTGGACGTGTATTCCCCTGATGCGTTTACCGGGCTCAGGAGCCCGCTGTAGGACGGTGGCGGGTGGGCACGTGGAGTCACGGCCCCCATTACCGCTCTGTCCCTGGTCACCGCCTTCCGGGTGAGGCGCCTGGAAGGAGGGGCCCAGGGAAGCGCACACACGGTTAGTCCAGTCACGTGTGCACGCGCGTGCACACGGCAAGTCCATCCGTGTAACCAAACAGCCGGCCCGGACCCAGAGCCGTGCTGGTCAGCGTGTGGGGCTGCCGACGTGGCGCTGGGGGCAGGCGTGGGGAGCACGGGGCTGTGGAGGGTCCCCGAAGGCTGCCACCGTGTGGGGACCCGGCGGGAGCGCCTGAACGCAAGGGACACACGCGGAGGGCTCCTTGTAGGCCACGCCCCTGTGACCCCTGGCCGGCTCTGAACTCCCCGTGTGGGCATTTTCATCTCCCTCGGGCGGGTCCGGCCTTGCCCTGGCTCCGGGCAGATGTGGGGCGGCTTCCTCTCCTCACAGACCCCTCGCCCGCCTGTAACCTGCTGTTTTAGGGAAGAGACAAAAGCGCCCCGCTTTCCATTCTAAGCACGGCCTCTGGTTTTCCAGGCAGCGCCTGGATGCAGGAAGCCGCCTCCTGGTGACACTGGCATCTAGGCCTCGCCTGGGATTGTCTGGGGTCCCCCGCCATCTTCCAAGAAATTCTTGATGACGTCATGTGGGAGGGGAGATCACGTGGCCCCAGCGGCTGAAAGCTCCGTGTGGCTGCCTGACGGGCTGGCCACCAAGGGGTCAGCCCTTCCTCCTCCGCCCTGCCCCAGCCTGGGGAGTGGCCCTCTCTCTCTCACGCCTCGCTGCCCCTGCTGAGGGATCTCCTCTCCCTCCCAAGAGGGTGTGAGGGGCACTCGGGCTGGGCCACGTGGGCTGGAGCCCCCGGGCTCAGGGTCCCCAGTTTTGGCATGCGGTGCGAGAAATAAGGTGCTCAGATTTTGGGGGAAAAATTGCAGTGGGGCCAGGAGTGGGGGTGGGGGTCGCAGTCCACTTTCGTTTTGCCACCAGGGCACCCACTGCTCTGTGGTCTCGGCCGGAGACTAGGCTCTGCTGTGTGGTCAGGAGCAGAAAATACAGGTGGAAATGAGTGTGTGGCCTGGTGGCACCCCTGGGCCCCTCGCATCCACACGGATGGGTTTTGTCCCCTGTGAAGGGCGGGTGGCGACGGGCTGGTGGTCAGCAAGCCGCCTGGGTCCCCCACAGCCCTCTGCTCGGGGCGGCCACAGCCCGCGGGGAGCGTGGCCCCGCGTTCTTCCAAACGAGGGCTTCCCATCGAGGCAGAGCCCGAGTGCAGATTTGCCAACATGTGCTGGGTTCAGATCAGGCGGGTGGGCAATCCCAGAATTGACCCCAGCGGGGCTGGTGACCAAATGCTACTGAGGACTTGACTTCCTGGCCACGTTTTGCTGCACGGAACCGGAAGGGTGGTCTCTGGGCTCGGGGAAGGAGGAGGGCAGACGGGGGCACGCTCGGGGGCCCTGGGCAGGGGACTGGGGGTGCACAGGGCACACGCTGTCGGTGGGCCCCGGGGGGATTAAGAGTGTGGCTGAGGGGAGGGGAGTAGGACGTAGGGGTGAAGTCTCGGCCGGGAAAGGCCATTCACTAGCCTGCGTGCGGTCACGAAACCTTTTCGGTGACGGGCTACACAGGAGGCCCCGTCCGGGCAGGCCACCGGCTGTGCTCAAGACTGACCTCTCCCTTCCTTCCTGTGACCACCGTCCCCCCCCTGCTGAGACAGGACCCCGGGGTTCACACAGCACAGCTCTACGGTGCCTCTGGAGAAGGGGGTGCAGGACACATTCGCCCCACGTCCCCCGTCTCTCCTTCCCCTCCAGGGCGTGGCCTCCGTGTGCATAAAGCGAGCACCCGGTTTGCATAAAGGTCTCAGCTCCTGAATGCCCGAGGTCCCCCACCCCCTTGCAGCCCGGAGCAGAGGCGTCTGGGACACGCTGACCGGAGCCCCCGGGAAAGAGGGAAGACGAGGGGGGGGGGCGGTTACCGAGACAGACCCAGGCCACGGAGGCGACGGCAGACAAGGAAGCCATGGGCGGGAGGCGGATGGAAGGGCGCCCGGCAGACAGACAGGTGGGTGAATGCGCGGTGAGGCGGCCTCCACAAGCACAGCCCACGGGCTCCGGGGGGCCCAGGCGTGACAGAGACGGCACAGATGGCGGGGCATCTGTCCGAGGACGAACACGGTGGAGATGAACGCAGCAATGGCACACGGAGGTGGCGGAGGACGGCCCACGTGCGGCGGGAGGGAATGAGGGCACACGGGCGGGGCGCGGGTGTGCCAAGGGCTGGACGCGGTCCCCGGGCCCCAGGGGCAGTGGCCGCGTGATTCCGCACAGCAGGCGGGAGAGGCGTTCTGCAGGGAGCCGGGACTGGGGGCGGCCCCGGGGTCTCGCCAAGGATGGCAGGGAGTCACGCAGAGGCCGCGGGCACACAGCGAGCGAGCGAGCGGGGGTGACCCCAGAGCCCCCTGTGGCCACCGTGCGCCCCAAGGGGCTGAGGCCGACGCGCTGGGAGGGCCTGGACCCTCGGGCGAACCGCAGAGCGCTGGCCTTGCAGGCCGCCTGGGCCAGGGTCTGGCTCTGTCACCGCGGCCACACGGCTCTGCGACGGCCACTAGCGCCTCAGTGTCCTTGTGTGGAGGAACGGGACGGGAGGACCCGCCTCACGGTGGTGGGCCTCCTCGGGGCGACTGCCTCTCCCGGGGGCTTGGCAACGTCTGGGGGCATCTCTGGTCGTCACGACTTGGGGAAGGCACTGGCATCTGGTGGGCAGGGGCCGGGGCTGCCGCTGAACAGCCCACGTGGCACGAGACGGCCCTCAGCGTGGTGTGGTCCTGCTCTAGTGACGACCTGCCCGCCTTGCCAGCGGTCAGGTGCGACATCGGCAAATCTGTGTTCTCCGATTGCCAGATGCCGTTTGTGCAAACCGTACCTGTTCCCATGACTAATTCTCAACAAAAATGAGAAAACGCGATCCCGTTAAGTAAACACCTTGACCTCACGACCTTCTCTGATGTCAGAAACACTGAACTGTGGGGATGTGTGTGCGTCAGCGTCGAGGCGTCTGGGGCCACGGCCGTCCCGCGTGCTGGGACTCGGGTGTGCTGCCCCTCCCCTCGCCGGGAACTGCCGCGGAGACTGGGATGGCTTTAGCAGACAGTGGAGGACAGAGCCGACCCACCCTAGAGGTCTGGGGAGCCCAGGGGCCGCGTGGGTAGACGGACGGACAGACAGACACATGGACCTCCTGCTCCAGCCAGACGGGGCGCGTGGAGGCCTCCGCAATGCGGTTCTACGATTTGAAAAATAACGGTGACAAAATGGCACACACTTACTTTTTCAGAGCTTCTCTGAGATTCTTAAATCTGCCCTCTGATGACACAAGCTTTTGGAGCTTGTCAATCAAAGCTTTTGTCTAGAAAGAATCAGAAGCATTTACTAACGCGCGGCTCGCAGGGGCCCGAGGCACCGGCCCACGGTCCACGGGCCGCCCTCGGGCTCCGGGGCCGCCCCTGCTCTGCCTCCTCGCAGGGCAGGGCGTTTCCGGGGACCGCCCCCCCAACTCCTGAAGAGTCAGCCACGGACCCTTGTCCTCTCACCCTTCAGAAGCACGGGGGTGGCGATGCGGGGGATCTGAGTGCCGGTCTCACCCCTGCAAACACGGACACCCGGACACCAGGGTGGGGGTGGGACCGGGTAACTGCAAGGGGGCCTCCGGAGCAGAGCGTGGCCATGGCCATGGCTTCACTTCCGTGGCCTTTCCTGCACCCTGAACCCCAGGGATGCGGCCAAGGGTGCGGGCCCAGAACCACACCTGTGTATCTCAGGAGGCCGCACTAACGTAAGAATCAGGAGAAAAGATGGCAGGTGAACTGATCACCTAGAAGAAAAGACCGTGATGGGGAAGACTGAGCCCCCAGCTGAGGGTCCCGTTTGTCTGCAGGGGGCAGACGGGAGCCACGGAGGCTGCCCAGGGTCTGGCTTTGCGGTCCTTTCCCTGCCGGCTGGGGGCCCCTTGGCCTTGGCAGTCCCCGGGTCCCTCCCTTATGCAACAGCGACGGGGCTTAGTGACCCCACCTCTCCAGCTCCTGCCCTCAAAATCCAGGCCGTGGCGGAGAACGGGCGCTGGGGGCCAGCTGTGCACATGTGGCCTGGAGGGGACGCTGGTCACACGGGCCGAGCACACCCCTCAGCTTTGGGCCAGATGTTCCTGAGAAATCTGCCTGCAGAAAGCGACACTGAGACTTGATTCAGATGGGAGAAGAGACCGGGGTGCGGTCCTCGAGGGGCCCATCCAGTCTGCTTCCTCCTGGATGGGGGGCCGTCACCTGGTCCTGACCAGCCCTGCTCAAAGCAGAAATGCGTGGGGACCTGGTGGCGGAGACACAGCCACGGGCCGTGATTCTGTGCCCCTGACGCAGCCGCCCTCAGGTACCGGCCCGCAGCCTGGTGCCGACGCCAACCGCGGCCCCGGGCCTCCGCTTCTCCCGTACTTTCTAGACTTCTCTCTCCAGAGCTGGGCCCGCCCCCTCCTCCTCCCCACTCGCCTGCAGAGGAATGGCCCCGAGGCAGCCGGAGACCAGATGTGGGGGCCCAGTGTCCTGGCCCTGGGGCCTCAGCAGCTCTGCACACACCCTCCGCAAGCCCACACACACCACTCCTGTTCCATGGCTGGCCTCCACTTTCACATCTGGAAAATGGGAGGGTAGGCCCCGCTGGCCACTTAGCTCCGGATGAAGTATCACCATGCTAGCAGTCCTGAGGATACATGGGGGATATTCTGATGTGTGTGGGGGGCTGGGTAGACACTTGGGACCGATCTGTGGCTCTGAGATGGGCACGCTTAGACTCCTTCCACATCTGTGCTCCTCTGGGGTGTCCTTCTGTCCAGGAAGGAGCTTTGCAGCCTGGGAGCCCCTGGATATTCCCGCCGCTGCCGCTTACAAAGTGAGTTCCAGCTTGAAGTGGCCAGGCCAGGAGTTTCCGCCCTTTGGTGCTCAATGGGACCCAGGCCCCTGGGATTCTGGGCATCTCTGCCGGGAGGGTGGAAACAAGGGAGCCCTTGGAACATGTCACTGAAACCAGAGACCGAGCAAGGGGCCGGCCTTGTTGTGTTGAGAAGGAAGGTGGTCACAGAACCTCCTGAAGGAAGATCCCATCTTCCCTCTTCACCAAACAGAATGCTTCCTGACGGCCAAGGCTGCTCCCTCCCAGAGGAGCCCCAGAGTACTGGCAGCCGAGGAGAGATTTCTGTCCCTACTGAGACTCAACTGTCCTCCAGAGAGGAGACACGCAGATCCGGCAGTCACCTGCGCCGCCCCATGGAGGGGTGCCATCTGTCCTCTCCTGGAGGGGGACACCCTTTCAGAGAGGCTGGGGGAGGGAAGGGGAGAACAGGGAAACGGAGCCAGAAGTCCCTGACTGAGCCTGACTGCTCGGCTCCAGCCAAGGGCTGGCCTGGACTGGACAGAATGCTTTTCTGCTTCGGGCACATTCGAGCAAATGATAACAACTATCTGTTGGGGCTGCACCTCACGCCTCTAAGACACGTGGCCGTTCCAGGGGCCTGGGGTGGGGGGTCACAAGTATCCACGGGATACCTGCAGAGACGCAGCAATCCTTCCCGGGCCGGTGCGGGCCAGGCGCCGCGCAGACGTGCAAGCTGAGGGCTGGGCGAGGCCGCCACAGGGCGTGTGGGCCCGATGTGCTTTCCGAGGCATCGCCGATGCCTGGGTCCTGAATGACATCCGAGAACGCAGGCCTGGCCGTTAGTCTCGATCTCTAACTGCCCTCCCTGTGCACCCTCTTGAGAGAGCGGGAGACTTCGGGATGGTTAAGGCGGTTCCCTCCCAACTCTACAATAAGGGTGATGCTGAAGAATGAGGCCAAGAGTTACAGAGCCCCCACTGTGGTGGGAGCCTCCGGAGAAGACAGCACCGTTCTGACAGCCCCAGGGCAGAAGAAAGACACGGGCCTGGAATGGCCATCAGACCCGCCGACAGACCAGTCTGCTCCCTGACAGGCCGAGTCGGCTCGGATGAGTTGGGGGTTCTGCAGCGGCCCGCTCAGGAATTCACAGCACTGTGGCCATGAGCGGCCAGATGTGCCTGTGGCCTCAGTCCCCGTGCGTCCAGGCTCTGTTCTTTCCAGGAGCCCACTAGCAAGCTGGCACCTTCCGCTGCCCCTGTCCCAGCCCTGGCATCTCTGTGTGTTAGGAGGCAAGAAGCCTGGCGTCACGGGGGGCAGGAGGCACCCTGCAGTCATGCCGTCATCTGGGGCCAGAGTGACCACACTGCAGGGAGGGCAGCATCCCAGGGCTTCCTGAGTTTGGCTGCTTTTCTAGGGAGGAGGGATGTATGGACCTGATGCCTGCTCGTGGGGGCGGAATCATGACCTGTCGTTGGTGTGAGGATGGTAAGGGGGCAGGCAATAAAGAGGACAGCGAGGCGGGCACCGTATGTAAATCCAGAGGAGACAGGTGCCCTGGAGACCCTGGGCCCCACACAGCCCACCCAGTCGTAGGACCAGACGCTGTGGCCAAGTCACTGGTATCTTTAGAGGCTTACCCTGCCCTCGGTGGCACCCATCCAGCCTCCTGCACACGTGCAGGCTGGGGTCCGGGCATACACCATGTGCACCAAGGAGGCGGCCCAAGTGCCCCACTGACCCTCCTCTTAGGGCCTCGGTGACCTCCTCGTGACCTCAGTGTAGGGAACTTCATTCCCAGGGAAGAATCATGTTCTGAGTGAATAAAGATCAAGCCCCCATTTAAGGTCACCAACTACCCATGGGTAACAGGGACCAGCGGACTCCCTGGCGGCCAGAAGGGCCAGAGAAATCAGAGACCTGGGAAGGGATCTACAAGTTCGTCCGGCCCCGTCCCGGCGACCCTGCAGATCCAGAGTGGCATCCACCCTTCTGTCCCAACCCAAGGACAAGAGTATCGGGACCAGTGATCACTCTTCCACCTTCGTCTTTGGAGTATTAATTCTCAAGTGGGAATTAAAGTCTCATGGGTCCCAGCACCACATATGCGGGCCTGATACCTGGTCTCAGGTGATACAGGAGAAGAGGTTCTCCCGGAAGAGGGCTTACAAGGAAGCGCTGGCCTCCACCCTGTCCTCTGCCCACCTCTGGATGTCCGGAGGCCAGCACTCTGGCGCCCCGGCCCCAGCCCGGCCCCAGGCAGGCGATGGCGCCGGCTTCCCGCCGCACCTGCTTGGAGACTTTGAGCCACGTCTTTTTCAGCCGGAATATTGCGCTGCGGTTCATGGACGAGGTGATCTCCAGGACGGCGTTGTAGTTGTGCAGACAGCGGCATATGTCGGCCACGGCCACCCACTTCTCGATGGCGCTCACTCTCGCGTTGATGTCCTCGTTGCGGATGATCTCTGAAGCAATCAAGTTACTGATCTTTAAGCCCATGCAATGAGACAAGAAAAAATAAGAGGCTAAGTATTGCAGAGATGATAAATCACCATTGCTTGCAGATGATATGACTGCCCGTTTGAAAATCGCAAAAGGATACACTGGAAAACTACCAGGACGACTAATAGAGCTCATGAGGGTGGCTGGTTAAACATTCGACACGTAATAACGAGTTTTCCTATACACTGGCAATACCAACTAGAAAACACCATGGAAAATATTCTCAAAATTCCAATGGGAATGTGTAAACTACCTAAGAACTTAAATATCTGAGGATTTCCGAAGACGCTGCATGAAAACAATTGACAAAAGGTTATAAAAGGTTTGGATTACGAAGAACAAGATCCAATTCCCAAAGGAGAATATAAATATGCCATTTTTCTAAACTAATACGTGACTTCAACGTGACTCAATAAAACACAATGAGAGCTCTCTTGAGGGCTTGACAAACTGATCCCACGGTTCGCCTGGAAGAATCAGGAGGAGCCCAGCTCCGAGACCATCTCCCCCACACAGCTGGGGCTTGGAGGGGACCCATACCTTGTGTCATCACTGGGCTCACATATAAAGTGGCAGAGGTCCCCCTGCCCTCAGTGAACACACACACACACACACACACACACACACACGTACAAATCAGATGTGGGCGGGACCTGGGGAGTCAGGGAGCAAGAAACACACAGAGCTGGGGCAGCGGCTGACTCACCCTGTGCTTTTCTCTGAAACCTCCTATGAATTTATAATTATTAAAAAAAAAGTAAAAAAGAAGACTACTTGTTATAAACAATTAAGAAAAGGACATGTGCAGGTGAATGAAAACTGTAGGCCTTTACTGCCAAGATATCTTCTCAAACATAATTTCTGAAGGATGTATGTCCAAAGGATGGCTTGTAAAACTATTTAAGAATGCAAAACCACTGAAGAGAATTAGGGAGGAACGAAAACATGAAATAGTACATATGTTGTAGCTCTTGAAAACAATTCTAAAATTTACTCATTTTGAGAGAGAAAGAGAAAGAGAGAGGGATAGAGATAGAAAGAGAGAGCGGGGGAGGGGCAGAGAGAGAGGGAGACACAGAATTTAAGCAGGTCTGAAGGTTCTGAGTTGTCAGCACAGAAAGCTTTGCCGCCTGCAACCATGAACCCCGAGATCATGACCTGAGCCGAAGTCGGACGCTTAACCAACTGAGCTGCCCAGGTGCCCCAAGTTATACTAATTTTTTAAAGGAATATCTCTGTGAAACCTTCCAGAAAATAGAAAGGGAGTATCTTACAACGTACTCTATGAAGCCAGTATAACCTTGATACCAAAAGCAGATGCAGATGACACGAGAAGGCAAATCACACATCCACCTGTCTGCCGTGCCACGACCAGGTTAGGTCTGTCCCCGGAACGAAAGGAAGGGTGAACATTAGAGAAAAATCTGTAACCGTCGTTCACCACATCAACAGCTTAAAGGAGGTAAGCCGTGACCATCTCAATAGATGCGCACAATTTTGATAACATTCAGTACCGATCTGTGGCAAATACCGTCAGCAAACAAGAAGAGAAAGGAATTTCTTTAACTTGATAAAGAAACAAACATTATCCTCGACGGGGAAAGATGAGAAGCTTTCTCTTCGGAACCAACACCAAGATTCACCATCGATGTTTGCACTCAAGTCTGCCGCACGGGGGCCGTGGGCAGCAGGGGTGCCCCCCCACTCTGCCCTCGCCCTGATCCCGGAGAGCCTGGTCAGTGCCGCTCAGTGAGACAACGGCATGGGAAGCTGCAGACCCAGCCGGGGAGAGATCTAGAAACAGCCACGGGCCGTGATGGTCACCACCACGGAGGTGCACATTCTGTGTCTGAGGGACAGGGCGGATTCTAAGAGAGAAGGCCAGACGCCAGGTGGTGATGAGGGCGGCCCTCGGAGGCAGGCTGTCTTGCCGTGTGATGTTGGGGATGAAACTGACCCCCCTTGGGCCTCAGTTTCCCCATTCACAAAGTGGGAATAACAGGGGTAAATGAGACCATGCTTGCAAAGCCCTGGGCACAGTGCCTGGCATGCCGCACACGGGCAGCAAACACCGGTTTCATGCCCCGCCCTTGGCTCACTTCAGTCCTGGGCACACACGGGAGTCGGGGGGATGGCGGGGGACCGGGTTTTGCCGCCTGGGGCTGCTGCGCGTTCCCAGGACCTGCCCACCGGCTTCGCGCACTGTCTCTAACTGGACACGTGGCCTGGGTTCTGTCTGTTGCTGGGTGCCCTACGGGGGTCCGGACCCCAAGCTGCAGTGTGGCCGTGTCTCTCTTCTCCTCCCGCTGCCTCAGACCCTCCCCGATGTGGGTGTTGACCAGGGAGCCTGGCCAGGAGGTCAGGACAAGTGGAATAGTGTGCAGCTCCTTCCTCAAGGGCCTTCCCTTGGGGGGGATGACTCAGCTCAGGGGAACTTAGAGGCCAGCGCAGGTGCCCTCGGGGCTCTTTCCAGGCTGGGCGCGAGGGCCTGTGGTCCAGGGGCTGGGGCCGGGCTTCGTGCCGGGGGAGGACTTTTCCTTGCCTCCCGGACATGACTCAGGAGCCCCCGGGGCTAGGGCCCTGAGAGCCCGGCTTTCCTTAGACCAACGTGGGGTAACAGCCCCCATCCTTCAGGGCTCGTGAGGTCACGGTGCACACAAACCGCAGACGGTCAGGCGCTAGCCTCGCGGGGAACCTGTCCTCCACCTGGCACCCTGAGGGGCCTGTGGAAGGAAAGCCCGGGACAGAAGGGCACCGCCTCCCCCCCCACCCCCCTCCACCGTACTCACGTCGTTGAAATGCTTCGTGGTTTTCATGATATAAGGGGTCCGCTCATTCTTCTCCAGCTTCATCCAGCCTTGTCCGAAGAACTCCCTGCGGGAAGGAAGGGCACCCGGCGGGTGAGGTTTGCACGGATGATGGCGTTGCGTTTTCTGCCTTTGGAGGCTCTAATTTCTCAGGGAGTAACTTTCTGTAGAGCCCCGGAGAGGACAGGACCCTGGGCTCGCGGCCTCAGTTCCCTCATCTGTGAAATGGGATCAGTGACTATTTTGTTCCCGGGGCTGTCGTGAGGCCGACACGAGAAGTGGGAGTGAGTGCGCGGTCACGGCTGAGTCCGCTCTGCACCCTGCTTGTGACGGAGAACTCGTATCTCCGCGTGCCTGTGCAGAAGCTGTCTGCAGGACAGGGACAGAGGCGCAACACGGGCCGAGTGGAAGGACAGAGGGGCCTGCAGGCCAAGCCGGCTGTGTGTTCCAGTACGGCGACCTCACGGGCCCCCCACCCCCCACGGCCCGAGCCTCCCAGGGAAGCTCCGGGCTTGGCTGTGACCGTGGGGGACCCGGGCAGGGCGCCGTGGGCAGGAGGGGAGTGAGCTGTGTTTCAGAAATCTGCTTCTCCTCCCACAGGGAGCCTGTCGGGAGTGACACCTGCTTCGCATCTGGGGGAAGAGGCGGGTTTCCACCCTCCATGCTCGTGAGCGAGGGCCTTGGGGAGTTTCAGGCGGGGCCGCCTTTCTGGAGAGCAGGGACCAGAAGCCTCTGACCCAGAGACACCAATCTCGAGAAGCTCTTCTCAGGCCCTTGGCAGGAACTCACGGCAACAGTGACTCACAAGGAGGTTTGCCCCCAGTTCAGACGTAAATGTGAAAACAGAACCAGGGCAGGTGCACCAGACCACGGGCTGTCCCCACGCTCTGCTCCCGGGGGGGGGAGCACACACATACGCCTTTCCCAGACCTGCAGAGTAGGAACGCGGAGTTGGAGATGCTTCTGGAAAAGCACGCACGTGTGTGCGTGTGCAGCTCACAGTCAGGTGGGCCCTTGGGGCCGGCAAAGAGGACCCTCCCTCGTGCCTGCCGACAGACACGCGCATTTACACATTTCTGTTCCTCCTGCGGAGAATTCACGTGGCTCTGGGAGCCTCCTGCACGTGTTCCCGGGGCACAGCCAAAGCCGACTCCCAGGGAGGAGGAGGGAGGGCCCGCACCCGCACCCACTCACTCGTAAGGGATCTTCTTGAAGACGAGGTGGTCCAGCAAGGTCAGCTGCTCGGCGATCTCCAGGGCTGAGTGGTTTTCAAAGGGCTCTGCCTTCACGCCTTCTGCCTGAGGGAGCAAGTCCTGAGTCAGGCCCTTCCCGATTTCTGGACACTTCCCCACTGTGACCCCTGGTGAGCGGGTGGCTGGCGTGTGCAGGGAGGGAGAGGAGGAAAGGGCAAAGGGAGCCGGGACCTTGCGGTGCCCCGAGTGTGCACCCGTGCTCCTGAGTCACCGCTTCCCCTGCAACGGGTCCACCTTGCCCCAGAGCATGAATGACACAAGAGAGGCTCCCGAGGATCACGACTGGGTCACTGGCTGGGCCTGGGGCCTGTGACCTCCCAGCGACCCGTCTCCTCCTTCAGATTCTGTCTGGACCCGTACCCGCCTCTGTAAAGTTCCTTTTAAAACTCATTAGCAGGTGTGGGCTCACAGGTGTGACCGCCTCCTGGGGCGGTGTTCCTGTCCTGGGCCCAGATGGTGGCTGTCTGGCCTTCGTCTTGGGGTTCTCACGTCTCTGGGGGCTTCCATGGACACTACCCTCACAGGTGCCACCACCTGGGCCCCTTGGCCACAGGAAACACTCGTGAGGGGTCCAAGGACCCCGTGGCAGGGATTTGATAAGAGGTGGACATGGGGAGGCCTCATGGAAGGTGTGCTGGCTCCGGGGGCACGGTGGCAGTGGAAGGGAGGGGAGGGAGTCTGCTGGCCTTGGGAGGGGCCTGTGTCCACTGGCAGAAGAACCAGCAACAAGGATCACCCCGACCTCCAACTAGGCCGCGTGGGACGAAGGGGCCAGCTACTCTCCCCAGGGGCCCCCGGGGCTGGGCTGAGCCCCCCAGAGCTGCACTCATCACAAGGGCACGGGGTCCATCCCGTTTCAAGGGGGGAAGCCATCCCTGCGAGACGGTCTCCCTCGCTCCCTCTTTCCCACTCCCTGAGCAGCGTCACTGAGGGTCATACTGCCAGGTCCTTGCCAGACACTGGGACAGAAGGACCAGAGACACAGGACCAGGCAGAGACAGAATGCAGGGAGGCAGAGGAACTCACTCTCTTGTCTGCGTGTGCACGTGTGTGTGCGTGTGCACGTGTGCGTGCTGGGGTAGCCACGCGTCCCCCTGGCACAGTCACCCCAGGCCAGAAGCCTGTGTGCAGGAGTGTGGGGACATGAAACCATCAGGGATGACAAGTCCTCAGGAAGGCGGTGGGGACTCGGGGACAGCAGCCGTAGATGCCACCCAGGGTGGGGTGTTTTGGGGTAAGGACCCTCATGGGGGGGAGCCCCCGGCAGGCAGGTGGGCAGCCCAGCCCACTTCCGAGGGCCCAGGATAGCTGATCTGTCAGGGCTGAGGGCCAGTGGCTGGCCTCGGCTGGGGAGAGGCCTGTGGGGGTCGGCCCAAGGGCAGAGAGACTTGGCCAGAAGATTTGCTCAGCAAGTGGACCCTGCTCCCTCTTGGTCACTTAGGAAAGAAGGGGACATTGAACCAGAGCTCAGACCTCCACCTTCCTCCACCTGTCACGGGGCCTGTCGAAGTTTCACTGCAAAAGTCCTTGGGCTCTCTGGTGAGGCCACGGGGGCCTCGTCCACACAGGCTGTGCCCCCACAGGCTCTCAGGGCACTGGGAACAAGTCAGGGCGGGGCTGAGGGCGGCTCAGCCGTGCTCTGTTCCCAAGAGCTGCAGGCTGCTCGCCGGGGACAAGGGCTCTCCCGCTCCCGAAGGCAAACATTCTGGTCGGGTGGGAAACAGGACGAGTGGTCTAGCCCCTGCAGAGAGGCGCCAGGAAGGAGCCAGTGTCTCCCAGGGTTCACCCAGCATCCTGGCCCCAAGGGTCGATCTGGTGACTGTACATGAACAACTTCCCTGCCCGGGGGCACCAGCCG